GGTAGAGTAATGGATTGGAGAATCGGAGAGCCGAGTTCGAATTCACTTCATTCACTTACGTGGGAAAGTTATGCATCCATTTCTCCCCCACCCCAAACCAATTATGGGTAGATAGCAGGACATACTGGGTTCTATATCCTTGGGTGGCAACAGGTGTAGTAGAAGAAAAACTTGAGTGTAATGTTGCGAGTACATCGTCAGTCGTTTTCAACAAAAGAAGGGAGAAATCGACAAACACTGCCAATGCTGCTTTTATGTTGTTAATGGTCCGAAGTTTGAAAAGAACGTTTAATCACATATTATTACTGTAGAATAGATTTTAGCATCACATGATTAAAATAACCTTAGGGTTGAAAAACATTTTAATACGTTCACGCCGAGATTGATCTCGAATTTCTGACTTGTTCCTCGAAAATGACCAATGATAAGCGAAAGTACCCAACCCATAATTTCCTTTGAAATGTCATCTAATTCTTCACAATTTGTATTTACTGATGATCCCCGTTCGTTTGATAAATTTATAGGGCTAGTGTTAAGATTAATTTATTTATAGTGCTTGTGTTCAGTTTCATCTTCTACATTGAGTTTCAAAGCTTCATAATTGATAACTGATAGTTGTCCACTTCATGGGATTTATTAAAAGCTTTGAGCACCAGTTTAAAACGATAACTCAAAGTTGTCCGATACCAAATCTGCGCATCAACCATTATAGTATCCTAAAAGGGTGCATCTAGATCGCATCTATAATAATAATAATAATAATAAGAAGAAGAAGAAGAAGAAGAAGAAGAAGAAGAAATCGAAATCTCAAAAATGTAGCACATGGAAACATCAACAATCCCCGTTGTAGTTGGAGCCCTCAGATTGTTTGGAAAAGATTCCAGTAGACTAATTGAAGGGATCCGTGGAAGACCATGCCTTAAAGAAATACAAAAAGTACACGAGTACAGTCCACACCTTACGAAGTGCTTTGTCTATGTAATATATATATATATATATATATATATATATATATATATATATATATATATATATATATTATGAAAATGCCATCATGACATTTCTAAACTTAGGTTCCTGGGCAGGACCCGGAAAGAAATGAGTACACATCAGAAATTAAAGGAAATAAAAGTAATAATAATAATAATAATAATGTATGAAATTCTGAAAGTTTAGGAAGGACTGACAAAAAAAATTAATTACAGTACCAGTGATTATTGGAGAAAAAAAAATGGAATAATCTTTCCGGTATTATATAGTGATTTAGAAATAGAGACTTTATAAAAAGTTTGCCTGCTCAGAACAGTGAGTATATTTCAGACAGTATTGAATAACTCCTGTCGATACAACAAAGAAATGATCGGTTTATTTTGTTTATGGTCAGCTGGTCTCCTTTTTTATACACAGTAAATTATTTTACTGTAACTAAAACGTTTTTTTTTAAATATTTCTCATGTATTGATAGAGTGCTTTAAACATGGCATGCTTAAATAAACTAAAACCTTTTCATTTTTTCCGCTGAATATACCCTGCTGAAATGTGGGGTGCCTTTTATATGTCCGTGAATCTTTGTTATGCCATCATTTTCGGTAATTCTTTTTTTCCATCATTTCTTTTCCATAAAACAGAAATAAGTTTGTTAATAGTAGGGCATTTACTTGGGTACAACGTTGGATCTGTTTTACAATTATTTTCTAATTAAATACATCAGAACAAAAATAAAGACACAAATGAATGTTCTTCCGAAGCATATTTATTAATGAAAAATATTAGCATTAATGTATTTATGTGGAGAATTAATAGCAGAAACCACATCTACATCAAGGAAATTGCAGCCACACGCGTGCGAACACTGTCTTCCATAAAACTCTCTAAACACGTACAAAAGTAACACGCAAAACAGATACAATATGATTGGCTTAAAAGCACTCTGAAATGTTCATTTATGCACAGAAATTGGTTTGATTGAGTGGAAGTAAGATAATCGCGAATGGATGTATATTCTATCGGGACATTCCAACGCAAAGATCTGCGCATGCGTGACCTGAAAGAACTCAGCACTTTTCCTAATTGACTTAAGAATGAAGTTGGAACATTAACAAACAAATTTAAAAGAAAAAAAATAGATGCGGCGGTCGGAAGCAACATCTTAGCAAACATGGCAGGCTTGCGGATTACAAAGGAAGGGAGATAATTCTAAAAATGCTACATTTCGTACACGACTCACAATGAGCACTCAAATTCGTTGATTTTTTTTTCTATCTATTGCTTGACGTGTAAATTGAATATGAATATGAAAGGGATCCGTGTATATATTTATGGATAAATAAAAGTGAAATATAAAAAAACGGAAACAGATAGAGTGCCGTTACTTGCATTCCATTTAGATAAGGAAAAACTCTAAAAGTATATTCTTTATTCCACATCATTAGAGCTCATTCTTGAAATATCCATTTGCTTGCTGTGCCTACCACAAGATCAGATATGTAACACAATCTTTGGAAGCTCTTTTATTTTTATGCTAAGAGTACAAACTCTATAGAACATACGTAACAATGTTCTGGTTTTGGTGGGAAAAATCATCTTAGTTTCGAATACAATGGTAGAAATGTCGGAAATAACACCTGGGTAATTATTGCTCAGAAATTATAGATGTTTCAGATGAATTAATTATCGATATTACGCACTCGGCCAAATATGGGGAAATCCATTTTTGACATGGCAATTTTCTAATATACACCGCGTGAACCGTTGAAAATAATGTTATAATTACAGAATTTCTGTGGCATGCGTCACGTTTGAAATAATTAAGATAGCCTCTCTTCAACTCTAGAATGCTTGTAAAATCTAAAATGTCCAGTGCTCATTTTCAGGTGTTAGACGCTCCCCAATTCAGAAATCCTCATTATTTCCCGATCCCGCGTCCTGGGTAAGACGATAAACTACACCCGCGTCCTGGGTAAGACGATAAACTACATCTGCGCCCTGGGTATGAGGATAAACTACATCCGCGTCCTTGGTATGAGGATAAACTACGTCCGCGTCCTGGGTAAGACGATAAACTACATCTGCGCCCTGGGTATGACGATAAACTATTTCTAACAGCAAGGTCTCTGATCAGGAGGTTTTGAGGAGCGTGAAACCACCTCTGAATTGCTGGTGTTCTCAGATCCACCCTGACCCGGGGTGGTAGCACCTGTTAGGGTCCCAGTAGTTAACCCCGAAATTGAGGTAAAAAGCATTATAAAAGTGTAAAAATAGGTTTTAATACCAGAAATTCTTTTTAAAAATTATTACCAGAAATAAATTTTCAGATATACGTTTTTGAAAAAATAATATCACCAGCTATACATTTTTGAGGAAAAAAATATTAACAAAAATAGATTTTTGACAAAACAATAATATTACCAGGAAAAAAAAAGTTGTCGGCATTAAATGACCCTTTGAGGTTGATATGCCGTAAAATAAAACAAACCAAACCATATTTCCCGACCCCCCCCCATCTCCCATTTTAGCCTTCAGTCACATTGATCTCATATGCAAAATAATCCTTTATCTGAATGTTATAAAGGAAACATTGTCATCATTGCTGCAATATCCGGTACGGCATAACACTACCCACCCTGTAGAAAAAACAAATGAATCAACAATATCTCCCGGGGAGATGAGTCATCTGCTAGGTTAAGCTTTACCCAGATGCCGTAGACAATTAAAATTTTAGTGTTCGCATACTGCAAAGTTTCACGGCTCGGAAAGAAAAACCGACGCTTGGGAAAGGCATGAACCCATCTTCCATTTCAACTATAGGTTAAATAGTAGTGCAAGACATGGTTAGCAACCAGTTTAGGCGTAATACAGCTTTGAATTCAAAACGGTATATAGCCCAAGTGAGGCTTTAATTATACAGACATTTAAAAAGAACTAATGGATTTCACAATTATCTGCGTGTTGCGGTTGTAATTTTTAAATTCAAAATAATCTTATTCTATCTCAGTTGAATTTTTTTTAAAAATAGTGTCTGTAGCTAACCTAATGTTTTAATATTAAATCTAAATGCTGAGAATTTATATATCAGAACCAAGATTAATTCAAAGCTAGTGTTACGGTTTTTTGTGTATATAATGTATGTAACTAGTGAGTTAGTCAAAATGACTTAATTCCCCTTATAGTCTACCAATAGAAGGTTGACCAATCAGAAGCCGCAGAACATTGTATCCGTCGTGTATAAAGGCGGCCATCTTTGTTTATCCTACCGGAATGACCAGAGCCAACTTGTGAGGCGAACATGACAGACCGAAGAACTACACTCTGCTGGGATATCCACTGCGAACCTGCACTACGCTTTCCTACTGTCTCCGAAATATTCACTGCCAACCTCTGGATTCTATACTCGAGGACGGCCGTCATGAAAATGTCTAACAGCTAGTTTATCTGTAATTTTATTTTTGTTGCTTTTTTTAATTCAAATTCCCAAACAATGTTTTTTTTCTATTATTCATAATAGTTTCACCTATTTTGCAACGCTTTTCTGGGCTCTTCCAATTGCTCCAGTAAAAATGAGTACAACTGTCAACTTGCAGTTCTACTATAAAGTCTAGATTTCTTCCAGTTTTTCACGTTGTTCAATGTTTTATAGGTTAAAAAAAACTCTACTTATTACCAAATTTTTTTTAATTTTTATTACAATAATTAATATCGGATTCTACGTTTGGCAACATTTAGTCGTTCTACATAGTGCCATTTAGAAGACGGTGGGTGGGACGGATGAGTGACGACGAAATTTCAAAGATAATCATAAGAAAAAAAAACACTTGTATTTACTCTGACAAAGAGAGGTTTGAAATTTCCGAGGCACATATTGAAGAAAGAGGGGTTGGATATTTTGACACTCACAAGACATATTGGAGGCAAGAGGAGTAGAGACAAACTTGGAAAACCTACCAAACAAGCTTGTTTAAATGCATAAGAGAACAGATATTAAGAGGACAAAGAATAGGGGCTTACGGCCATATCTTGTTGAAACATTGGTTCACTTACGATCACCGAAGTTAAACAACGTGAAGCCTAGTCAGTACCAAGATGGGTGACCGCTCAGGAATACCAATACTGCAAGCTTGGATGTGCGGGTGGTGTAATGGATAGTGGCTCGGAATTCTTAACCGGCATGCAAAGTTCTAATGTCAGTTTGGTTCATTATATTCACTTATGTACAAATACGCTTGGGAAAGGTATGAATCTTCCTCTTCTCCTCCCAGCTATGGGTTAATTAGTAAAACTTGTATCACTAAATCATTATTATCTTAAAAAAATCTTAAAATTTAAAACAATCTTCTGGCTTTAAATAACCTGTAAAGGGTTAATAAACCGTAGAAAATGAAACAATCAATTTTAAAAAAGCTAGGAAGTTGTGGAGGGCTGCGATTGGGATACGGCACGTAAAAGACGAAGACTTCTTAGTTAACGGCTGTAGACTGTCAGATGACTTGAGCGTTGCGATAAAAAAATGAATCAACTCATCTGAGTATTGTAAATAATCAAGATACAATATTTTGATGGGAAATTCTTTTCGCTCCATCGGCTTATTCAACAAATACATGATACGATTCAAAGATTTCTATTGTTATCTCTGTAGCCGGAAGACATCGAACTCAACTTCTGAGAAGGATTTGCTGCTCCCTGAAGTCAATGTAAAAAATAATAAAGAAAATGATTGCCTTCGATAGTATAAGTCTGTTTAAAATTAATCTGGCCGAGAACAAATTTCTCATAAAGATAAGAATTTACCTCGTACAAGAATGTATGATCAGACTGAACTTGTGTAACTTCTGGAAAATTTAATATAATCAACTGATACACGTACCATTCTTTTTCTAAGACTGGCTAGACGACAGATGTCTGAAGTTGGCGAATATTTTAAAACTTTTTATCAGCACTCTGAAGCCATTGTAAAACCAACGTCAACAAGTAATACATCTCCCGTTAGCTAGTGACAGACTTATTAAATATTTCAATTCGCACTCTTATCTTACTAGACGCTGTGAAGGTCCACTACGGTTTTGACAACTTTTTTCTTTTCTTTTTTTTTTTTTTTTTTTTTTTTTTTTTTTTTTGGTGGGGAGGTACACCCTGAATAGATATGATACTTACAGTTGGTTAGTTTTCTTCTTGAAAAGGAGACTTGCGACGAAAAGGACGCCTTTCCTTAATATAAAAAGTTAGAGTTGAAATTTCTATGAATCATAATGAGGAAAGAGGGCCTGGAGAAATTGAAACTCACAGGATATATTGAAAGCAAGAAGAGGCAGAGGGAAACAAGGAATAATTCCCCTAATAAAGTAAATGGGTGTGGTCGTAGAGTCGTTGGGCATATGAACATATCCTTCCACATATCTGCTTTGAATAACTGGAAAGGTATTCATTCATGCGTGGCGTGTCTTGGGCACGTAGACTTGGGGAGACTGTCTCTCTCCAGGTCAAATCGCAACCAATGTCCTCCATCTTGAAGACTCACCTTGGTCACATTCACATGAACGTTGATTCCATCGGGGAAACAGTCAGCCCTAGCTGTTGTCTTCAGTCTAGTAAGCCCTTCGCTCTTGGCATGATAGCACTGGTTGTATAAATAGATATGGAACCCACTTTACCCCAATGATCTGGATGACCGTTGACTCTAGAAGGTTCGTCTGCTCTTTGACAGATCTGCTGACTGTGTAGCCATCCTCCACACACATTAGAAAAGTCTGGTGAGAGAACCGGTTTAGTTGCCGATGACCACACTATACATCATAGTACTAGTATTACTTGTAAATTGACTTGACTCGGGGGGGTAGTAAGGGGTCAAATATTGATTAGTTATAAAGGTTAAGAAGACATCGCACGGTATTTAAAAGTTGTTTTCTTAGGTACTTCATCAACCACCTGTTCTTCTTTAAAATAGCATTGCAAGCAAATAAAAGATTTCCAAGATCTCTATCAGTGGGACAGAATACAGGGAATGGTAGTTTTGTGTCTTTCTCAAGAGTATAAGTTAAAAATGGATTTAAGCCAATTCAGTCAGAACTCGAACCCGGTTCTCCCATTATGTACAATCATCGTCATGTCATCGTTCATCACTATATAGTTTATGTGCGGATGGTAAACTGCTACTGACTTTTGCCGCCAACCTTTTGTGCCATTTGTGAAACAGTGTCGAAGACTGCTTTGATTTATTTTAAATACTAAAATTCCTAAACGAAGGCTTGAGAGCCACTCATATGTGTTACAGTCAATAAAATTGTAATACTAAATAGGTAGAGAACTACCGTAAGATGATGTGGTGGGAAATGAAGATTATGAGAATAATGCAGGTAAAGATTGAACCTTGATTTCAGCAGGTCAAGATTGACCCTTGACTCCAGAAGGTCAAGACTGAAGTTTTCCAGTTCATTGGAATAAAAATTGTCGTGGGTGAAACGTTCTTCTTATATTTGGAACACGGGGGAAATGAATGTGAATCGAGTCTGTGGAAATGGCAAGGGAAGTCCTGGATTCGAAGGTTTGAACTGTACAAGAGAACTGAACTCCTCTGAACATTTTTATAATCATTTCACCCTAGAAAAAGGCGATAATGTCACGACGATACAGTGGGTTACAGGGAGTGAAAGCGAATGACAAGACTTTAGAGGGGAAGGGAGGAAATGGACAATAAAGGAACACTGTTCAGGTAGGCAGATGGCGATTGACTTTGCATTTAAACTTTTGAAGATTGTAGGTGACAGGGTAGCAAATGATGGGTTAGGGGCCATTGTTAAAGTGCAAGATAAATGACACGATGTGAATTAATAATGTTTGCAATGGAAAAAAAATCGTATGAAATAGTAACAATCATGCAAACAATATAGTTAAAGCAAATTCAAAATTAATAAGAAGGCAGAAGAGTTGTTGTTTTTTTGCACTCAAAAGGAAGATCGACCAAGCGACCACACTATGTCTGTCTAGTAGTTATGGCAGATCTGGACGGAGGTTATTTGACTCACCTCCCCACAAGGCAGGATGTGGTACAAATGGTCAAACATATGAAACAGCGATAATCATGCAAACAAGAAAACAATAGATTTAAAGCAAATCAACATTGATAAGAAGGCAAAAGCATTCACAAACTATGAGTTTGTGTTTGTACACAAAAGCGAGGTCGGCCAAGCGAACACAGTATGTCAGTCTAATAGTTAAAGCGGAACTGGACGGAGTCATGTCAAAGCGCAAGCCGTCCCATTTTATTGGTTAAGAAGAATATCCCAGCATGCATTCTGTGTCCTTCTGGCTATAAGAGGAAGAGGGGAAAAATTTTTGTACACGTTCTATCCACTAGGTACTGACCAGCCTCGGCATAAGCAGAAATTTATTATTAAAAAAAAATATTGAATAATTTACTTTATTATTGTTCGTGAATAAAACTTTAATCGTAAAGCTTTTTCAAAATATACTATTAAAAATATCTTCCTCGCTTACTTCACTTTATTTATCGCTTACTTCCCTTTACTCCCAAGCTGTATATTAATGTTACTGTGGTTATCACTATTAGACCACAAAATAGATTTCTTAGAATAAGTAATAATTTAATTATAAAAGCCATCAACAAAACAATCGCTTAATTATAAAGATAAAATCGAAATGGATAACAAAACAGTTATTTAAAAATATACATAGTGAAAGCTGATTATGCAAATTATTTAGCTCAGTTAAACAAGAACCGATAAGAGAGTCAACTATAAGATGGATTGCTGCTCCATTTAACGAATAAAAATGCATTTAATTCATTTAAAACAAGTAAACAACTTTACATTTTTATTTCAATTCCTGGGTTTGCAGAGAACACACTGACACACAAAGTTTGAGCTTTATATATAAGATGCATTTGTATGTATTTGTTTTTTCTTTTCTGTTTTGTTTTTCAACTCTTGTCTCTTTCATTATTTCATTTCTCTCTTCATTTCAGTCGGGAAGGCCTGAATACCACTCAACATTCAGAATCGACCCCATCAATGGAAACATCAGACTGGTTCATAGCTTAGACTACGAAGCACACACCTTCTACCAATTTGAAATTGTTGCGACGGTAAGTGAAAAACCAGACTTACACTTTCAACCAATATTAAACGTAAAGTAAATGTATGCCAACCAGCACACTATTATGAGAACAACAGCTACTTGACTAAGGGATGAAAGTATATATATATATATATATATATATATATATATATATATATATATATATATCGAAAATCAATAGTAATTGCTTAGATATAACTACAGTGAAGCTGGTAATATATATATATATATATATATATATATATTATATAATATATATATTATATAATATATATATATATAGTGAACATTTTTGTCAACACTCACAGGCGACAGACTGATGGCCTGACGATTGCGTCTAGCATGAAACAGTTTGTCGCCTCTGAGTGTTGACTTCAAAATTCACTTTTATATTTACATTCGCTCTATTCCTGATATCGGGCACTTTATCCATGATTATAGTACACCTTAAAACTACATTTCTTCATATATATATATATATATATATATATATATATATATATATATATATATATATATACCAAGTGTAACAGCAAAATTGTCCAAATAGTGTAACAGCATAATTGTCCATCCCACAAAATGTTTAATATCTAAGAAAAAAAAGAACAATAAACTAATTGAGTTTCTATTTTTACGGATTTTCAGATAGACATTTAGCCATCTTGACATCGTTTATCGTAAGAATCACTAAAAAAAACCTTTCAGTTAGAAGAAAAACAGCTTAAAATTATTTTGTGTCAGCACCCCCGTCTTCCGATCTGAGCAATAGCAAAAGGAAAAAAGATCATTAAGACCTTCAGCAATGGTTCTAACATTCATACTCTGGCTGCCATCTTGAAAGTCCATTCAAGAACCATCAGGAGAACGATGAATAAATTTTAAAAAGAGGGAACAGTAGAAAGGAAAACTGGATCAGGAGGTCACAACAGGAAGAAGGATCATCATATCAACTTAGAGCTAAATACATTCCTATTGTTCAAAGTAGTTTTATAAAAACCTGGAGAATTCTAGTAAGATATCTTTA